CTCTCTCTCTCTCTCTCTCTCTCTCTCTCTCTCTCTCTCTCTCTCCCTCTCTCTCTCTCTCTCTCGCTCTTCTTCTTCGTCGTGGTCTTCTGTGCAGGTGCGCGGCGGCTTCCCCCACCTTCGGATCCGCTATGGCGGACTATCACTCTCGGCAGCCACCTCTGCTATGGCGCATCGGCCCTGCACATGACGGCGCGCATGGAATAGTGGGTACCAGCTCCAATACCAATGCAATCAGACTCGTTCTTATTCACACTTTTCATGCATGTAAACAGCAGCGCAGCAAACTGGCGACATGCGCCCACTYAAAACTCAGAGATATGGCTTCCAGATACGAGTTCACTTTCAACTGGCTATGGCGACTCAGCGCCCAAACAACTCACTGTTCACACACACCGGATCACCCTGGATATCCCACACGCGTCACTCTGAACACTCGCACATACACACACACACACACACTTCACACTAACTGCAGCTATGGCAGCTATGGCTGCCTCTACCCTATCGCTATACTAAGCTCCTTCTCTCTCTCGCCCACTGCGTCCTCCGGGCTCACTGCGGACCTCCTTGCACAAGTCGCTGTGACAGCGCTTCTGCATGGCTCACGCAGGAATGAATGAAAGGCTGGGCGCTGCCTCTTGATTTATACTTCGGAAACTCGTTGGTCTGCCCCTTGCCATCGGCCCATGGTGCTCACAGTCCCCCGTGGTACTTGCTGGACCGAACTGGGACTGACTGGACCTTACCGCTGACTGACTGTGGACTCACTGCTAACCTACCGTAGTCGTACTGCAATTGCACTGCAGTTTAGTCCACCACTTGACTCGCCACTTGACCACTTGCCCACTTGCCGACCTTCTAGCAGGACTACAGCTAGACTTCTGGAACTCACTAAGACTTCTACTCTATAGATCCACAGATCAAACCCCAGCTACCTATGGACCTATGACAGACCTACCAACTGTCTACGAATACACAGGTCACAGGTTCAACTCTCAGGGTCTACACAGATACTGTACATGGGTAGGGTGAGGTCTAGGGATCGAACCCTGGGTACTGCATCTGCTACTGCAAAAAAGGTGAAAACCGTTTCAGTTTAGTTAATGGGTGCTCAACTCAACGTCGTGATAAATGGACAGAAAACATTGTGACAACATCAACAGCATTTGCCCAACATAATTCCCAGGTGTTGAGTTAGAGGCATGGGTGCTCACCACAAATGCAGCCGCGAGAGATGTTCCAGACCTATAGACATAGCTCTGAAAGTCTTGGTGGGATGCCGTCAAGATCGCTTGCCCCTTTTACAAGAAAAAGAAGAGATGAAAGTACGGTCACAGGGAAATAGAAGGGAAATCATGCATCTTGTTTTGAACTGTTCTTGAGCCTTTTCTCTTGCTCCTCAGAAAGATTGGCAGCTTGGAACTGCATACAAAGGACGGAAAAACCATTCCTACTCTAAAATTTCCTTGGAAGGTCTTGAACAGCACTCAGTTGGATGGGCAACTCCATAATCTATGCAACTCTTTTGTTATGATGCTGCCAACATTCTTGACGCAAAACTCAACTTTGGAATAATGCCATCCATTGCCAATCGAGGAGGAGGAGCAGCAGCAGCAGCAGCAGCAGCAGCAGCAGAAGAAGAAGAAGAAGAAGAAGAAGAGGAAGAGGAAGAAGAAGAAGAAGAAGAGGAAGAAGAAGAAGAAGAAGAAGAGGAAGAAGAAGAAGAGGAAGAAGAAGAAGAAGAGGAAGAAGACGAAGAAGAGGAAGCAGAAGCAGAAGCAGAAGCAGAATCAGAAGAAGAAGCAGAAGAAGCAGAAGAAGAAGCAGCAGCAGCAGCAGCAGCAGCAGCAGAAGAAGAAGAAGAAGAAGAAGAAGAAGAAGAAGAAGAAGAAGAAAACGAAGAGGAAGAAAATGAACACAAGATTACCCCAATGTCTCCCCCCCTCCTCTGTCCACTTCCATCAGCAGCAGCAGCATTATCCCTCACAAACGCCTCTTTATTATCCTAACCACTGAAAGCAGATCGGCCACTGGGTTTGGTTGACGATACGCTCTTCATGATAACGCTGGGCAAACAAGGTGATGCCTGTCCGATTGCAAGGATCAGCAGCCCGGGATGAGTTTTTGGCTACTCCATACCAGATTGTTCGCTGCACGCTGGTTAACCTGGTGGAACCGTTCTTCTTCATTCTTGCTGGGTGACCATCGATGAACATGAATATCTTGCACACACTATGGTCGGATTGTAGGATGGGAAAGGCTACAGTAAAGACAAACAAATAAAGAGACAAATAAAGAGTCGGGAAAAGGAAATGAAGAAGAAATTTGGAAACTCGAATGAAGACGAACAAATAAAGAGTCGTGTTATGATCCTGGCCAATTTCGAAGTACACATTCATGAGAAAGTACAATGCCGTCCAATTGCAAAAAGAAATGAATGAACTTGAGAGGGAAGAACTACTGAGTGCCTCTTGAATTCTACTTTTCTCCTTCTCTGTCCTAGAATTTCTTTCAAGTCCGTCAGCTGTCCAATTCTAGCCTGACCCAGTTACTTTTTACTGTTCTAACCCTCCCCAGACACCAAAACACAGCGTACAACAGAATTAGCTCACCGACACAGAGTCAGACTCAGCAAGCATCCAATAGACTCTTTGACCTAGGCAACACAGCAAAACAGACTTAGACTCGGTCATCTCAGCAAATCAGGTCAGCAGACGGCAATACTCAGAAAAATGTAGAATTCTCAGACTGCAACAGTCTGGGTCATTTAGTATAGAGTCTATAGAGCTGATGGAAGATGAATGATTCAAGAGACGGAGTTTTTTCTGATCTATTGTATCCCGGTCTACAGCGAGACGGATCATGTTCAGAAGTTCCTGTGCGGTCCGTTGTTTTCCATTCTGGAAGCATGCCTTAAAGAGACATTTGGTGCAGGTTCCAGCATCACATGTTGTAAGGGACACCGGACATGTTTTCCAGAATTTGTTTAAACAATCAAGGGGAAACTACCGTCGTCCCCCGAACACGTATGTCGTACGGTCATTATGGCTGTATTTGGGGCAACTTTGAGTCTAGATGCAGCAATAATGACCGAAAGTTGTATTCGGGGGAAGAAGGTAGGGCGCTATCACCGTTATGACGGCATTATCTACATTCAGAAGTCCTTAACATTGGGCAAGCTTTTCGAGGCTGGAGTCAGGCGGCGGGAGTTCAGGCGGCAGCACAGCCTTTGTGAGGCTGGGCAAGCTTGGTTTCAGTTTCAGATTTCTGATTCCACTCCAACTTGTCGGGAGTGGGGGCAGGGAACGAGGTAGGGACTCGGGAGGGGTGAGGGATGGCACTGTGGTAGGGAAACAATAAAAGCGAGCTTGTGAACAGCATTGGGCGGAATTGGGGCACGATTGAACGTGGGTGGGTAACAGGTGGGCATGGGTGGGCCACGGCGGGCCACAGGTGGTTGTTGTGCGGGTCCTGGCTGGGTTGGATGCGGTTGAGCATTCTTTAGCGCTCCCAGCTGGGTCGGGCGCATGTGGGAAAATCTCAAAAACACAGTTCTGGGTTGGATGCACTTTGAAAATTGCTTGAAGGCCGGATCCAGTTGGGATCTGGTTAGAGATTTTTTTTTAAAGCAAATCTGGTCCAGATCTGGTTTGTAAAACATTGTGAGCTATGATAGGATGACTAAAACTACTGGAAAACCAGATATGGAGTAGAATAGGTCATGGAATTACGGATGATTTTGGTGCTTGTCCTTACCGGTGCATACATATCCACACAAGGACCGAAGGACGAAAAGGTGCTGATTGTGTCTGTTCTCGAAACTGATCCAGCAGTTATGACTGTGCCAACACCAGCTGGAGAGTATTTGCATGACGAGTCGCGAAAGTTTCCTGCAGCTGCAACCTGCACAAGCTCTAAGGTGTGTCAGACGTGCTATCCTGCTCCAGACGGACATCCACAGCAACCATACAGAAGATAAAGTGGAGAACAGTATATACTTCACATTGTGAGCACCTGTTCCGAGGGAATGTGGGAAGGAGAGAGCTTTATTTTTCTTTATAAAAAAAAATCGCGTTCTTGCAGCCAAAAGAGCCTCTAACATTCCAAAGGCTACGCCTTTGGCAAGTGCACAAGGCCCCTTGTTTTCTACTTCTCAACTTTGGAACCTTGTTTCCAGAACGAAGGGTTCCGACAGCGATCCGAACCTTACACAGCTGCAGACAGCCTAAGGAAAAAAGCCATCTGTGCCCGTCTCCGACCATTAGATCCAGAGCGCAATGGTCAGAGGCAGGTATCACTTCTGCTTTCTTCATGGCTGCCAGAGGCCGTTGATGGGTCACTACCAGCCAAGACTGCAACCTCCACCATTTGTTGCGGCTCTGTAGGGAAGTAGCACTGGAGAAAGGGGTGTGGTCATTGACTGTAAGCAGTAATGGGAGATGACTTCTGGTGAGACAGATAGATTATTGAATGTGCTTGAGGATATGTACTTAGGAATCCCTCGTCCATTAGCTTGAATCCAGGCCTTCAATGGGGGACTGGAAACTGAGGAATCAGTTCAGAAACTTGAGATGTCATTGCAATGACAAAAGAGGAAATCTGTCTTTTGGGACATCCATTAAAATTGGAACGATACCAGGGTTGCATACCTGCCGACAGCCGACACTGACCGCCGACCGTTTTGCAGCCAACCAGTAGGGCCGACCGCTTGGCGGTCTGCCTACAAGTCAGAAAACAGTCATCCACTGATTTTTTTTCAAATCTGAGTCAGGGCTGTACTGTGCTTGCTGAGTACAGCCCAAATCCGCTGAGAAACTTTTGGGGATGGGGGGGGTTAG